CGTGCATCATTTCCCAAGAGTCCTTTTGAGTCCTCTCCAGCTTGCAGACCTGGTGTGGGGTGATGCTGTCCCTTTTGTAGGTACCTCTGGAAGACCTCTGGGGAAGGGGTGGCTTTTGTCTGTGGTTGTTTGCCTGCTGGCATCCAGGAGCCCCGAGCAATAGTTCACCTACTCTGCCATAAAAAAAAAAGGAAAAAGGGAGAAAATCAGCAGCAACAAAAGGTCCGCAGCTTGCAGGAGGCCCCGAGCTCATTGCTGGAGCTCCCTGTTGGGGCAGCACCTCATTAGTAACCCAGCCATGTCCCCGCACAGCTGCCTCCACGCATTTCGGTGCTGGCGTCACCCCCTGGCAGCATCAGCACTTTTGGAGGGCACCCAAAGCAGATGGGCCAGGAGCCCCAGCCTCGGGGACAGGGACTGGGTTTGGGACACGTGTCCTCTGCGTGCTGCCTGCACGGCTGCTTTGTCACACACTCCTCTGAGACGGAAGATGCCGTAGATGTGCAGAGCCCCGTTGTTAGCAGAGACAATAGGAGGATAAATAGAAAGGCTGGATGAGCCGAGCAGGGGAGCAGGGGACTTGGAAAGGTGCTGGTGCACTGCTGCATTGCAGAGAGAGAAAGACTTTTGCAGACACGCCGTCCCTGCTTGCTGCATTGTGCCCTGCTGCTCTGCACCAGCATCTCCCAGGGCTGGGGCTGCTCCGTGCCCAGCTCTGTGCCCCCCCAGCACACTGCAGGGGGGGTCCGGCTCCATCCCTCCCTCCCCAGTCTGCTTTCCTCCTGTTTCTTTGGCATTTGCCATAAAGGCAGCGTACTGGGAGTTGTTTGCAGCATTGAATCCCGGGCAATGAACCAAGGCAGATCTTTCCGAGCCTGGTATATTATTATTAATGTAATTAGCGTGAATCATTTGCATGTATAAACTTTCAATTGAGGAGATCAGGTACTTTACAAACATACATTAACTCTCCCTCCCTGGGAAGGAGGTGCCAGCTTTGTTCAAACCTTGCAGAGGGCAGAACTGAAGGGCAGGGATGTGCTGCAGGTTGGTGCGAGCAGAGGAAGGGCGGCACCTCAGGGCTCCAACTGCACCAACCAAAGTGAAACTTGGGAGGGGAAACACAAAGGGTTTTTATTTTCCACTTCCGAGCGCTGCTTTTGAGCACCTCTGCAAGAGGCTTTGTGGTGGAAGCTGATCTTAAGGCACCCACAGCCTTTGGGGATTGCTGGGGGGCTGGAGGTGGGGACCCCCCATTACTGCTGTGTTCATTGCTGGGTCGGGTCCCTTTGCTCAGGAGGTGGCAGCCAAATTTTGGCTGCCCCCCACAGCAGAAACAGCACGGGGAAGTCTATGAGAGCAGTGGGACCGTGCTGGAATGGGATTGAGCTGTTCACAGCCCAGCCTTTAATTAATCATAATAAATAACAATAAAATGTGATAATCACAGAAATAAATCTAAGATGTGAAGCTCTGCCTCGGGCGGAGAGCTGGTTTCGTTGATCATGTATAGCATGATAGTGGTGATGCTGGAATGGGAGGTGCTGGGGGTCGGTCCAGGGGTGGCTTCAGAATCCAGAGCTGCCTGAAAACTGCAGAATCGGACTGGAAATTGCTGGATGAGGCTGGGAATGACCAAATCAGACTGGAAAACAAAAAAAAAAACCCAAAAGCCATCGGGGCTGCTGAGTGATGGTGCCACGGCGCAACACGTGTGAGGCTCCATCAGGTGGTGAGGATGTGGGCAGGGGGTTTCTGCAGGGTGGGTGCTGAGACCCCATCCCTGTCTCTGCACCCCGGGATGGAGCTGGTGTCCTGATCATTGCCATGAAAACAGCAATCAGGTTGCTAATTTTACCGAGCTCTTTTCAGTTCTAATTAGCATTATTCATTTCTTATGTGTCCTGCTGGGTTGAGACAATCTGTGCTCTCCAGCCCAGCCCTCTGAAACACCAGCGAGCTGCACAGGAGGCAACAAAAAATGTTGTGTGCCAATTACTACACTTCAGTAATTAAAAACCTCCTTCCTCCCGCTGCCAGGCCACCCCCTCTCCAACATCCCTGTGTGCAAACTCGAGAAAGCAAAGAGGAATTTGGGCAGCCTTCATTGCCTGTGCAATCTGTGCCGAAAGCACGGGGAGGTGCTGGGGGCTGTACGAAGCATGGCATGAGAGCAGGGCTCCCAGCCTGCGTGCCGTGGTGGTTGTAGCCTTGATACGTGATGGTGGGATGCTGGGATGGAGGTTGGTTGGGGTTCTGGTGGTCCGTGGGGTGGTTGGCCAAGCCCAGATGCTTTAGGAGATGTCGAATTGTGTCAGTAACATTTCCATTTCCCATAGGGGAAACAAAGAGGGAGAAGGTTCGTTGCCCTGCATCTTTTTGGAGGAGAAGGCCTTGCTTTCTGAGCAGGAACGTAGCTGGGATTAAGGAACTTGAGAAAGAAAATGAGCTCATCGGAGCTTAAATATTTTGACATCTTTGTTGGAGGCCACCTCTGTGTTCCGGCCTGCCTGGGGCCTTAGAATCGTAGGGTGGCTCAGGTTGGAAGGAACACAACAGATAATCCTGTTCCAGTGTCTCTGCCTTCCCTCCCCATGGCAGGGCAGGCGGAGCATCCATCGGTCTGCAGCATCTCTGGGCATCACTGCGTGCCAGGCGTGGGGCGGGGGGAGCGCGGCGGTGCCTCTGCTGCCCACCTGTGCCTGGAGCTCCGATCCCAGCCCCTGCCAAAGGCTTTACGCTCGGCTGCCCCGGGATGGAAGGGAGCAGATGGAGGGGTGGGAGAGCAGCGAGGAGGGGGCGAGCCACGGGGACCCCAGTGCTTGTGCATGGAGGAATGGGCTGGAAGGGGCGCAACGGGGAGGCTGTATCCTGCCCTGCAGCCTTGGTTCCTGTCATATTGAAGTCATTTGCTTGTCCTGGCCTTACCTGCACCGGGAGGGGAAGGGAGCCTTCCTCACGGCAGCCAGCTCGGAAATAGAGCCTGGTACCTGCAGCTTACAGCACTTTGTCCCCAGGGCTGTGCTGCTGCATATGGCACAGGTTTGGCTCGGTAGCTTGGAGAAGGAGGAAAGAAAATAAAATAACAAGTTGAAGCTTGCCGATCCCAGGGACAGAGGAGCGTGTCTGGGTGATAAGAAGAGATTGCGACCGGGTGCTGTGAAGGGCGACAGCACTTATTTCACTGTTGCCTCATGCGTTACCTGAGCCCCGTTGCTTCTCAAAAGCACTTAAATACCCATATGATAGAGGGAATGCTTGGATTACACACTGTCTGGCTCCATTATTATCCAGGGATCTCCAAACTGATGCATTTCACAAAAAAAAAAAAACCAAAAAAACTGGCGTGGAGGAGGAGAGAGGGAATATATATATGGTTAGCTCAGGCTGCTTATGAGTCCTCAGTGATGATCTCTGCAAAAGAGGTCAGTCTGAGGGATTCAGGCTGCACAGGGCTTCCCATCACCCAGAAATGCAGCTTTAGCAGAGGGCTGGACACCCCTTTTCTCATGTGGAAGCACTGCAGGAGCCCGTTGCATTGCACTGGAATGGGCAGGCCAGAGCCAGAGAGCAAATCCGTACCTGTGTTTTATTCAGACCCCGATGGTCTAAGCTGCCAGCATTGAGATCCAGAGCCCAGTATAATAAAGCCATCCTTTGGGGTGAAATCCCACATATTACTCAACTTGAGAAACTCAATTCTAAGGTTTCGCTCAAGTTGTAAAGCAGCTGAGAGCAAGCAAGAGCAGAGTTCTTGGTGTTCAGCCCAGGCTGAATCTATCACTTTTTTTTTTTATGAAGATAATAAAAATCTGCTTGCATTTAATTTATTATTATCGTCATATCATTATGGAACAGCAGTGAAATAGTTTAATTTATCAGATGTTTTTCACAGCAGAGAGGGAGGACGGTCTGACTGCTGGGGTAGCAAGTCCTCAGGGTCCTCGGGGTCCAGATGTCCCCCATCACCTTGGGCAGTCCCCCTCCATGGGCGCTCACATCTCCTTCCTCCAGATGTTGGGTGTTTGGGTCGGGGTGGTTTTCCAGCTCCTTCTGCAGCTGGAGGGATGGAGGAGGATGGAGGAGAGGAGGCGGTTTGTCCCCCGGGTGTCTGCTGGCAGAGCTGAGCGCCGCTAGCTCTCACGACCGCGCGCTTCTCTGCATCTCCCTCCCACACCTATAGAATGGGAATAATGGCATCGCCCACCTCCTGGGGAGAGTCGGGACATGGAGACGAACTGGAGGTGGTGTGGCTCTTCTTGTAAACACTCTGTGCAAGTCTATGTGAGACACACAAACCCTCGAGGAGGAGGGGAGCAGCAGCACCGTGAGGAGGAGGAGATGGGGGTGGATCGTGCCCCACCGAGGCCAACTCCAGCTTCATTGCACACAAGGGGGGGCACATCTTGCAGCTTCACAGAATCACAGAATCATAGAATTGTAGGGGTTGGAAGGGACCTCCTTGTCGCCTGCCTGAAGTTCCCCTTTACCCAGCTTCCCATGATAAGAGTTAGGCTGTTTCCATGGGGTGCTGCCTTCCTTTGCTGCCCTGCAGGCTGCTGGGAGCCTCTGGTGCCTCCAAAGTTAATTTGCATCCCAGCCGGTGCACAAATAATGGAGTAGAATGGGGAGAATATAAACAGTGGAGCTTAGGCTGAGTGGTTTTATGGAAGGACATTATCCGCCATCACTGGCATGCAGCAAAGCCCGACTTGGTTCTGTAATCTCCAGCTTGCTTTGCTGGTTTAGGCAACAGGGAGATGCCTGTGTCCTCCCAGAAGGTGTGGTTTGGGGTCAGCAAGGAGGTTTGAGGCAAGGAGCAAATGGAAATGTGGGGGCTGTAGGTTGTACAATGGATGGGCTGCTATCTGCAATAACTGTGAAGCTGTCGGGGAAATCTCTTGAGCAGAGTGCTGGGTGCCCAGAACTTCCAAAAAGGGTGAGGAGTGGGGCTGGGAAAGGGTGATGGCATCATGCTAACAGGTCTGCTCTGCCCACAGGTGCTCCGTGGACAACCGCGTCACCCGCGTGGCCTGGCTGAACCGCAGCAGCATCCTCTATGCCGGCAATGACAAGTGGTGCTTGGACCCGAGGGTGGTGCTCCTGGCCAACACCAAAACCCAGTACAGCATCCAGATCCACAACGTGGATGTGTACGATGAGGGGCCCTACACCTGCTCTGTGCAGACAGACAATCACCCCAAGACGTCGCGCGTCCACCTCATCGTGCAAGGTAAGGGGAGGGGGCTTTCCGGGGGGGGTGGGCTCAGCGCTTTGACTTCCTGCTCTCTTTTGCCATGGGGTCTTCCCCTCCTATTGCTCCTGCTGGGAAGACAGCTTGGTGCAACCATAGGTGATCCAGGATTGAGAGTCCACATGAGGTTGGGCAGCGCTTGAGTGTGGCAATGTGCTGACAGGTGGACTTGACGACCTTAGTGGTCTTTTCTAACCTTAATAATTCTATGATGTAACCCAACTTACTTGTAGCAGTCATGGGACTCTGGTACAGGCATCTCTGCCTCCCAAAATAATCACTGCTAAACTCACATTGCTGTTTTTTTTGTTGTATTTTGATGCTTGCTTTTTTTTTTTTTTTTTTTCCCAATGCTGGAGGCAATGCTTAAAGTAAAATTTGTGTTGGGGGAAAAGAAAGAGCAAGCAGATTTGTGTACTGTGCGGGGGTGTGTGTGTGCCTAGCAACAATATGTGTTTGTGTGTTAAAACTCCTGCGAGGAGGAGGAGGGATGGTGTGGGGCGATGCAGCATGTGGTGACCCAGCACATCTCCTTGGGGCTGCCGACCCCAGAGGTGTGTGTGAGCCCATGGGCCCACAGCAGGGAAAGGATGGGTGCAGCTCTGCAGGTGTAGGGACACGCTGAGTAAGGGACTGCTGGCATGGAGACAGCCTATGGGGGATCGATGGAGAATTTCTGATCTCTTGCTAGCAGCCCTTTTTTTCCTCCTGCTTCTTCTGTGATTTGGCCAGAAGCCCTCTTAGCATGACACACCAACTCGAGTATTGGAATCTCATCTCGGGCTAATTTTCGAATGCTGATGGATGTATTGATCTGGAAACAAGCTGGGTTAAAAAGGCATTGGTCTTGTACACAGAGCTGGGTTGAGCTAATCCGCCGTCAATATGCCAGGCCTGAGCATAATTGACAGCCTAATGAATAGAATGGGGGGGAAAAACCCAAACCCAACCTTCCCCCCCTCCTTCCCCTTCCGTTTTGTCTTTCCTCTTCGAGCAATAAAGCAAACTAAACACAGCCGGACTTTCTCCATCTCCATTAACCACGGAGAGAAAGCGGATGTGTTGCCATCCTGGGTCTTTGCTGTTTATCTTGCAATCTGTTATTACCTGCCTGCATTTCTTAAGCCAAAGTCGATCACCCGCAAGTTCCCATCACCAGGGTGATGCAATTTACATTGGCTCCCTTATTCCAGTGTGCTGACCGGTTTCCTGTATCCCCAGACACCCAGGCTCATCCCTCCTGTCTTGCTGCAGCATTAGGAAGAGATGTTTGGATACAGGAGGAAAAGGTCACATCTTAATTCCCAGCAGTGGTTTGAGCACCGGAGGACTCAGTGATGGTCTCAGCCCTAGAACGTGCTGCACATCCTTCCTGCTGCTGGAGGAAATGCTGGCTCTTGGAAGCATGGCCCCTCCTTTCAAGAGTTATTGCTTGGCTTGCTCAGCCATCTCTTGGGTGGAATGAGGCAGTAGTGTGTTCTGCAGCAGGGTGCATGGAGGTAAGCCTCCTCAAAGGGAGGACTGCTGGAGTGACCCCAGTTAAAGACAAGTGAATCCCTCCTGCCCCCAGGTGTGGGGGATGTCCGTATGGAAAGAGCTTGGAGCTCATCATCCCTCATGGAGCTTCTGGATGGAGTGGATCTGTGGGGGAAAGAATAAAAAACAGAAGAGGAATGGGGGTGGGAAAAGGAGCTTTCTGTAGGATATGAGCGTTGGAAATGGTCCTTTGTGGCAGCAGAGGGAGAGGAAGCTGAAAGCCATTGGGAACCCGAGGATGGCCGCGCTGCAGCAAGGGAAACGCCGTGCATTTATTTCTAGGTTGACTCTATTGATGGCTGAGATCCCAAAATAGGTGGGCAGAAGGCACCTCCAGAGCTAATTTAGCCTGTCCCCCTGCAACGAGGCAGGGACAGCGCTGGCAAACATTTGTGAGAGCTATTCTTGAAAATCTCTAACGAAGCAGATTCTGCCATCTCCCCAGACAATCCATTCTACTGCTCTGCTACATTTATAATTAGGAAATGTATGGCTATGGCTAATATCTAACTTGAACCTTCTTTGTTGCAAATCAAGTGGAGTTTTTCTCATCCTATTCCCAGCGGAGGTGGAGAACAATTGATCAGTGTCCTCTTTGTTACAACCTTTTGCTTTTGGGAAGGTTGTTATCTTGTTGCCCCTTAGCCACCTGCTTTCTGATCCCACTGGAGCCCTCTTTCTCCCACCTTTCCTTGTTGGTCAGGCTTTCAGAAACTCGTCACTCTTGAAATCCTTCTCCTGAAAGGCAAAAGGTGATGGCTGCTGATCCAGGAATAGCAGATCAGTGCATCTCCCCCTCCCATTGCCAGCGAGCCTCAGCACTAATATGGGACAAATGAGCCCAGGAAGGAGACAACAGCCCCGTGGCTCTGAATGCATCAAAGTTTGGACCTGCTATTTTGGGGACTGTTTTAAGTGAGGTCAGGCTGGGTGTCGGTGATGTGAAATTGATGTGAGGCAGCAACATCGCTGCAAAAGGTGCAAAGTGCAAGGAAGGAGCTCCCAGCCACCTCCTGCCTGTTTGGCGTGGAGCCGAAAATGAACCTTTGGGGCAGAGCCTGTGTTGTCTGCAGTGTCTGGGAGGTGGCCCCTGCACATCCCAGTGCTTCCTCATGGATTTCTTGTCAGGAGGGGCTGCAGCTGCAGGAGCACAGAGCAGGGAAGCGTGGCTGTCCGTGTTTTCAGCAGTGTGCTCAGACTCTGAGGGCACACGTGCGGTTGGGGGTGAAGATGGGGAGAAGCGCCCAGCAAAGCGTGTGGGTGTTATTGGCACAGCTGCACAGGGAGCGGTGGGCTCCGCATCCCCAGGGGTGTTAAAGAGCAGCAGAGATGTGGCACTGGGGGACGCGGTCAGTGGGCATGATGGGGTTGGACGTGGTGATCCTTCTCCAACCTGAATGATCCTGTGGGGATTCTGTGAGTGAGCTCTGTGCGTAGAGAGATGCGGAAACCCGGGGCAGAGAAGAAGGCTTCAGTTTGGCCCCATTGACCTTTGAAGAGTAATGCTCTTCTCTCCTCCTTCCCCACGTGGGTTTATTTAACACACAGCTCCTTCTCCCTCTCCCCAGGGGCACTCCAGCTATTTAAGCCTCTGTTCTCCAGGTCGCTGGGCTGAAAAGCGAGAGGAGAGGAGGGAGGAGGATGGTGTCTGGAAAGCTCTTATTTGTATTGATAATAAGCCGACTCCGACGCGCGCCTGCACAACACTCCCACTGCCTTGTAAGATGCATTATGGAAAGTTGGCCTTATCTCAGTGCTGGAAATGGACTTGGTGAAGGAGGCACGGGTGCTGCCGGAGCTTAATCTCACTTAGACACGCGAATTTGCATGATAGAAAATGGTGGAATTTTAGTGCTTAGAAAGAAAAAAAAAAAATAAAAAGGGAATGCAACTGGGGGATATTAGCACTTTCCGTTGCTTTATCACTTTCTTTGCCCCTGTCTGGCTCTTTCTTTTGTCACCGTTGCAAGTAATCACCCCTTCCCTTTTGTTTGGTGTAAATGAGTTTTCCCACTCCTTCCTGTGTTGGCCTTAATCTGCAAATCCCTGCTTTCATATGGGAACTAATTACCTGCTTGCTGGAGTTGGGGGCAGTGGGCATAAGTGACACAGGGCTGCTCTGGGGTGGGAGCTGGCACTGGGTGGCACCTTGACCCAAGCATCACTGCCACCCCATAGCATCACTGCCAAGGTGTGTTCTGCAGTGATAAAGCTTCTGATGGGGCTCACAGCCCCACCCTGGCTTTGTTTCAAGCCCTGAACTCTGCCCAATTAATTTTCCTTTGATGCAATAAGCCCCTTTGGCTCAAGGGAGGTCGGGAATAACTTTTTGAGGGCACTGCTGCTGCCTGCCTGGCATGTGAGCAAGGAAGGGCTCACACAGTAATGCAGGAGGATCAGACCCTGCAGCTGTTGTTGCTGTTGTGCAAAGGCAGCTTGCAGGGAAAACAAGGTGGATAAAGATTATGAGGGCTGGGCACTGGGTCTGGTCACTTCTGATGGTGCAAGAAGTGGGATTTTGGAGGAGTTTAACCCTCAGGTTGAACCCAAGTGTCTGGGTACCCACTTTGGGGCTGGGCAGGCTGTCCCAGCCCCCAAGAGTCACTTGACCCCTTTGCAAATCAATTTAACATCTGCAAGGCAGAGATAATAATTGTCACCTACTTCACAGGGGGGTTGATGAGGATTAATTTGGTAGTGTCGACAGAGGTCTTTGAAGATGGAATGCGCTATCTGAGAGCTGAGCATTATTATTAATTAGCAATTATAGCGTGGGGCAGGAGGGGGGAAAACAGACTCTGGGACTTGCACCATGCACTTGTCCCTGCTCTCAATGCAGTTTCAGGCTCTCCTGGTGCTAGAGGGACCAAGTGTGCTGGTCTCCACTGCGTGCATGTCCTGCAGTGCATCTTCCTTCCTGGGGACACTGGCACAGGGAATAGTGGGAGGGATGGGGAGGTGAATGGTATTTCGGGTATGGCCAGAAGCAAACAAATGCCCAGTAAAGAATGTCATTGCTCCCATACAGAGAGAATTGGCAGGAGACTGAAGTGAGGGGAAGGGAAGGGTAGTGACTCATAGGACACGGACCGTTTTCATTTCCTGCATGCTTTTATGCCTCACATGCATCACAGCTGTGGGTAGTTTCTCTGCTTTTCTCCCCTGGTGAACTGCTAACACTGGAATCCAGCAGGTTCCTCTAAGCAGTGCAGATGCAGACCCTGCACCACAGTGCTGTGACATCCCAGGCATGTGGGGGCATGCAGTGATCTCGTCGGGGCCATTCCCACCTCCCAGCACCCTTTAGTTCCCTTTATTTCCATGCCTCCCAGCATCAGCCATGCGTGCTTTGGTTGTGGCAAGGCGAGCTCAGTGCAACTCTTTGCTACTCCCACAGAGACACACAGGTCACCCTCGGGTCACTCCTCTCTGCAAAGCAAGAG